CAAATTAAAATGGAGATATGATGATGGTGATATGTATAAATATCTGAGTTAAAATACTTGAGTTAATATGAATTATGGTTGATGACTGTGGAAGAGATGCACAGAAAGTCTTTTGCAACCAACTGATACACTTTCTACAGTATGTAAAGAAGGAGGATTTTTTGTGTTTTGTTTTGAAAATTAAAAATAAATAAAAAATTAATTAAAAAAAGAACTGAAAAAAAATTCCTACCAAGTTCTGTGGGCATGGCTTGATGGAAGGATCCATGTGACTGAGTGGGTGTGGGCAAGAGTGATGTCGAGTTGGTCACACCCACTCAGTCACAGAACCCCTCCACCAAGCCACACCCACAGAACCAGCAGGGAAAAATTTTGAATTTCACCACTGAGTTAATAGAGGTAGGATTCAAAATATTTTACTACTGGTTCTATGGGCATGGCTTGCTTGGTGGGCGTGGCTTGGTGGGCATGGCCAACTCAATGTCCCTCATGTCAAGGGCTCTTCCCCTCCCAGCCATTCCTTGTCACACCCAGCCTCAATATATATATAGTTCTGTAAAAATGTTGTTCATCTTTTTTCAACTTAATTATGTACATAATATGAAAGTAGATGTACTTTCATGGACCACTGAAAGGAGAAAATGGCTCGCATGCTTTGCCCAAGAGTGTGATAGGCAATAGGCTTTTATGGGGCTGTCAGAAAGAGGGGGGAAGCAATGTATTTTCCAAAGCACCACAAGGCAAAACAAGAAGCAATGGATGGAAACTGAACAAAGAGAGAAGCAACCTAAAATTAAGGAGAAACTTCCTAACAGTGAGAACAATAAACCAGTGGAATTGCTTGTCTCCAGAAGTTTTGGGTGCTCAATCACTGGAAGTTTTTAAGAAAAAACTGGACGGGCCTTTTCTCTGAAATAGTATAGGATTCTCCTCACCCACCCACCCAAGGTCTCTTCTAAGTGTTATTCTGTTATTCTGACACCTTTTCCAGAACCTCTACTCAGATTTTGGCATCCTCAATTTTCCTGCCTGAGCAGGGGGTTGGACTAGAACTCCAAAGTCCCTTTCAACTCTGTTATTCCTGAGCTAAATAGCTAAGGATTAAAGAACTGCCTCTAGCCATTCATTTTAATAAGATTTTTAGAAACCTGCAGTTGAAAGTTCTTCATGTCTCTTTACCCTGAAGATCCAATTTCATTTGGAATTTAATCCCAAACTGATTGCGCTTTTAGCATTTCTCTTGATACTTCTCCAAAATGCACTCCCAAGAAGCCACATCTCCATCTCTCTCTCTCTCTCTCACACACACACACACACACAGACTCTCTCTCTGTCTCTTACATGCACACACATCTGGTCTGGGCATATAGCTCTTCATGACGGAGTCCTTCCCAGGGAGCAAAGCATGGCTTGGATGAACTGATCTGGCGAGCTCCAGAGCAGCAGCGGCGGCGGCATAAGGAAGAAAGTAAGCAGCGACGGCAGTGCTCTGGGAGGGTGGGAGGATGTTCTGGAGCTGCCCATGCACACCGCAGTGGAGCAGCAGTTTGGACCCAGTGGCAGGGAAAGAAGAAAGAAAGCATGTGGCAGTGGTAGAAGTGCTCCAGGAGGGCGGGCAGATGTCCCTGGGCTGCTGCACACACACCGCAGCAGAGCAGCAGTCTCAGCCCAAGAGGTGGCAGCAGAAGGAAGAAAGTGAGCGGTGGCAGCCATCTCCAGGAGGGTGGGCGGATATTCCCCTGGCCCAGAGATGGAGCATCTCCCTTCATGGGCTGAATGCGTGACCTGACCTTGAAAGGCAAGTAAGCATGGGGGACTGCTGGAAAGGTCGTGTGGAAGGCAGGCAAGCATGGCAGGGCCGCAGGGAAGGGAGTAGGCTGCTAGCTTCTTTCCCCATGGCTGGACGGCCCCAACATGCTTGCCTGCCTTCTATGTTGACTTTCTGGCGGTCCCTGTGGCCAGGCCTGCTTGCCTGTCTTCGCAAGCTACTCGTGGGGATGCCAGGAAAGTCACGTGGAAGGCAGGCAAGCATATCAGGGCCAGCCATAGGGAAGGGAGTAGGGAAGGCCTTCGCAAGCGGGCCTGGTGACAGGGACTGCTGGGAAGACCATGTGGAAGGCAGGGAAGTATGGCAGGGCCACGGGGAAGGGAGTAGGGGAGGAAGGCTGGGATGATGGGGATGGAAGGAGCAGTTAGCTAGGCTGTGACTCACAGGCTTACCTGGCAGACAGCTCAGGGCCACTCAGTTGAGGTGCAGCGCTTCAGGCAAACAAGCTGCAAAGAGGAGCCAAACAAGTGGGGTGAGCGAGCATCGGGTGGATGGGGCGAGCGGTGAGTGGGCAGGGCGAGCGAGTGACGACTGGATGGGGGGACAGCCAGAAGTTGCTATAGGTTCAGCGACCCAGGCCAAATTTCCCCTAACAGTTCGCATGAACCAGTATGAACCAGCTGAATACCACCTCTGGTTTAATAGCAAAATATTAAGTTGAGATTGACAAAAATTCTAAACTTTGCTATTTAACACTGACTACATAACTATTTTTTAAAGTTATTTTGTTAGCAGAGCATAAAAAGGTGCAAACATTAGGCAGAAAAAAAGTAGTAGTTTACCTGTGATACTGAAGAATCAAATCCTCCACCAACGTGTTTATCACAATTTTCACATGAAATGTGTCGAGTATTGGTAACAGCACTAAAACAATTGAAGAGTCACACATATAACAAATATAATACAGAACACTTATATAATAATAATTGGAAATAAATTATCTCACCAGCCAGAATTCTTCATAGCTTCAAGTAGCAATTTAGCTTGTGGACCTAGAATAAACATTGGCAAAAAAAACCTCATTTCTAAACAAATCTGTTGTTCAGGAAAAAAATGCAGAACTCATCTCTAAATTACCACAGAAAGTGTTTACAATATCATTAAACTTATGAAACATCATACATCCAAAAAACCATTTATAGATATCATAATCAAAACACAAAGATGATTGATTGCAAGAAATACTACTGGCAAAATCTTAAGTGTTTACTTAAATATCAAATCTCATTAATTAAAGGGAGTTTAATAATGTTCAAGTGTGCATATGACTTCCACAGCCAAAGAGCATAGGAACTAATGCTCTTGCAAATTGCAAATGAATATTCTGCTTTGATAAAAACTTTGAAAAAAATAATCTTTTAATATAGGACGCCAAGATAGATGGTCCAACACCTAGATTCTACTATAATACCACGATACCAGAGCATCCACTTTTCTGATTGTGACATCCCCCATGCAGGGAAAGAAAGAAAACAACACATTCCAAAGGTGCTCTTTCAAAAGTCAGCTGGATTTTCTTGGGTTTTTCCCCTCCCTTTGAACATGTTTCATTTCTCATCCAAGAAGCTTCTTCAGAATGTATTGTATTGTATTTTTCTTTATGTGTACTGAGAGCATATGCACCAAAGAGAAATTCCCTGTGTGTCCAATCATACTTGGCCAATAAAGAATTCAATTCTAACTGAAGTCCAGTTGCCTTTTGAAGAAGTACCTTTGGGACAATCATGACCTGGATGATTGAGAATCTCTATAGTGAAGGAAATCAATAGGTCTTTTTTTTGTTTTTTTGTTGGCACGTTTCATTTAATGAGCATGACAATTCAGTTAATGACTGAAAGAGAAGTGAAGATGTAAGCTCATCACAGTCATATGATTTTCCATTTAGTGACCATGACGCTTATTGACTGAGTTGCAGATCCCAATAGTGGTTACTAATCAAGAATTAAATACTCCAATGATATTTTATTTTTGCTCTCTCCTGGGCCAGATCTCCTCTGCATTAACAATGACCACAGTTGGAGAGGGACAAGCATTCTCTTTGTTGTTAGTTGGTAGGTTTAACCTTCTAAGTCACTTCGGGAAGATTTACAATGTGGAAATACAAATACAAATAATATTATACAACTATAAAAATAATATCAAAACCACATACTACAATTCTGCATTATCAACTTCCATTTTTGAACTCTGCAAGATCTCATGGTTGAATTACATACTCTAAAATTTTGGATCTTTCCACCTTTTCCCAATCCCCCCCCCCATTTTGCCTTTTGAAGAATTCTGTCAAATGAGAAAATGTGTGTAGGTGCATACATATTTCTATAACTTTACAGATATAGTTTCATAGCATTTGGGTGGATCACTATACTGGAGTTACTTTAGATGGGGCAATATATTTTCAAGGTCAGAATTACAATTTACCACGCAGTAAACTTTAAGGAAATATGCTAAGGCTCATTTGTTTGAGGAGAGCGCACACTAAATACCTAGAGCTATTTCTCTGAGGCAGAAGTCGGTACCTCATCCTTTCTCATTAGAAAAATACATTCTCACGAACAGGGAGCAGAGGGAGGACTTACTGTCTAAAGCAACCTTCAGCATCGACTGACACCTATACTGGGAACCAAACAAGGTGGAGATTATTTTTCCCTTCAACGCGGGCTTCTTCCCCTGGCCAAGAGTTCGCTCGGGAAACCGACTGTAGCCGAAGTCCTCCTCCTGCTCTTCGCCACAGCCGCGACTCTCCGGTTGCGAAGTCTGTTCAGATGTCATCGTTCATACAAGCACGGGCAACGGAGCAAACGGAGACGTCTGTTCACATGGCCTCCCAGGCCACCGTAACCGTCCCTCGAATCCAGGCAAAGGCCATCTTCCGCTGAAACCATAGAGGTTCGCTATGCGTGTTTCCTGCTGCCTGTCTGGGGCGATTCATCGCAGGTAAGCTAAAGTGAGATGGGGTCCATATGAAGCGGGGTAGTGGAAGCGTGGCAGTCATGCGCATTCTGCCTAGGGAGAAGTAAACCACACGACACTCGTGCACCAAAACGCGCGTGCGGAGAGGTGGGCGAGGAGAGCTGTCGACGCTCTTTCTCATTTTCTCTTTCTACCTAACTTGGACTATAGAAGTTGGAAGTCTTTTCTGCTAGAGCGGCTTTCACGGCGACGCACCTCCCTTCGCTTGGCGCACTGGGTGTTGTGTAAAAGGAGAGCGAGACGGGCTTCGGAGCAGCAGAAGAGCGAGAGGAGTTTGCAGTCGCAGAGGTTGGGGCCGCTCCGCTACTGTTGCCAGGCAGGGCTGGGAGGAGAAAAGTGAAGAAAGCTCATAGAGGTTGGGTTAATGGCTTGTTTCTTGGGTGCTTATGAAAAACTGGGAACATGGAGCTTTGTTTGCCTTTCCGGCGCAGTTGGAGAAATTAACTCCTTCCTTCTTTTTGGAGTGTGACGTTTAGCATTCACAGGCCGCACACAGGAGGATTCTTTTGCACTGTGGGAATACTGTAATGCATCAGGGTTGCTTCCCCACTTCGTTCGCTCCCTCTCCCCCGCGGCCCTTCATACCCACCATACATAGATCTCTTTTTTTAACGTGTCCTTTAAACAATGGGAAGTCCCGCCAAAATGATGGGCTTTTATGAGGCTACAAAATATGAATATGTACAGAAATAAGGCATGCTTATATCAATCTGACTTGTATATAAAAGTAAGTTGCACCCATGATTTGTTCTAATGATTTCTCATTTGAGTGAAAAATTAAAAAGATTAGTTCTATATCAGTTTTTTAAAAAGTTCAAGAGTGCTTACATGGGCAGAATTCGTGCTTCTGGTTTGATTCCCTTAAGTGGCTGAACTGGAAACCTGATTAGCTATGGTAGTACAGTTGTCAGAGGAACTTTGACTAGGCCCAGTTGGTTGGCAGGACATAACTTTCTAGTACCAGGGTTCTTCATAAGATGCTAAGATTTTGGCTTAGAGCAGATTTAATTTATTCAAAAGGGAAATGCAATGTGGTGGCTGTCCTTCAAAGAGGCTTTGAACCTGGATGATTTCAGTGCTTGTGTTATTTTACACCTAGTATTGTAATAATCACAGGTAAGCTGATTTTTCCACAGCAAGTACATGTAATTTGCATAATGCTATGCCAAAAAGATGTTTATTTTTCTATTTCTTTAAGGTAAAATTTGTTTGTGATTCTTACAGATCTTTCTGTTTTCCAATGCATTCTTTCATCAGATGAGTTCACCAAATAAAGCAATTGAGTTACAGTTGCAAATACGACAAAATGCTGAGGAACTTCAAGATTTTGTGAAAGATTTGGAATCATGGGAGAAGGATATTAAAGAAAAAGATCATGATCTAAGGCATCAGAGTGGCACTGCCGAAAAAGTAAGATTGGTGATTTGATAATGGAATGAATAAAGACACCTTGAAATACAGTCTGTTAACTAGATCATCTAATTACAAATAGAATTACAAATAAATCACCTATATAGTTAACTTAAGGTCAATTATATTGCTTCTGTGCCAGAGACCTAGGAGTAATGGACAGATGGACTTTCTTGCTATAGGTCTAAGTAGAACATCAAAATAAAAATGTATTCCTTTTAAAATGCTTTAGAAATTGCTACAATTCTTCCTCACTGTTCTACAGTGAAGAAAATCAAACAATACTTGGGAGGGTGGAATGGGATATCTTAAATTCAAATGTTTGTCTCCACAAATCTTTTAGCTAGTGTAAACTATTTCAATCTGTCACTGTTAAAATCATGTGAGAAGCAAAACCTTTTCTGTTAGGACAGATTGTTAGTGTTCAACTCGAGGAAGTGGAATTGCCCTTGTTGGAAGAAATATTTAGGTGCAGTTCCAAGCCGGGAATAAAATGGAGGCTAATTGGAAAGAAAAGTTCTCCTTATTGATGAAGCAGAACCACCAACTCTGTGTGATTCTGGGACTGCTGACAAAATGGAGTTTAGAGTGTGGGTTTTATACCTTCTGGATTCCTATGGGGTCATTTAGAGGTGATGGCTGGCTCTATAGGCAAATGGAGAAATGCAAATTATTGTGTTGCTTATCTGAAGTTTCTGCCTGACCCAGTCTTTCTGAATTGATTACCAAATCTGCATTTCTATAAGCTGGCCTCTTCAATTTCTGCTTGGGGCAGGGAAACCAGCTGGTTTCTTCTTCCCTTAAGATATTTTTCCATTTCTCCTTTAGGAGAAATATTCTATTCTGCCTTTTTAATATCCCTCCAAATATTTCATTCTTCCAAGGGCTGTGTGTATGTGTTCCCAACCCTGTTAGTTAGAATTAAAATGAATGAGCTGGAAGAGATCTTCGAGGTTTTCTGTTCAAGCAGGAGAACCTATATTTCAGATAAGTGACTGTCTAGACTCTTCTTAAAAACATCCAGTGATGGGACTTCTGGGGTGGAGTCACGCCCGCGCGGAGCAGAAGAACAGGGCTCTGTTCTTTCTGCCCGATTTTCTGTGCCAGGAGGCTTGCAAAGGCAGAGCTGAGTCTCGGAGGGACCAGTGACAGAGAGGAGAAGCTCGGAGGAAAATAGGGAGAGGTGTGATCCCCTGTTATAGTAGGAGAAACCTCTCAAATCTGGCACGGGAGAGACTGGCCTTTATGGCCAGATCTGGAGGTGTGACAGCCCTTTAAATGGAGAAGGAAGTGAGAAGAAGGAAACAGCTGAAAGTATTGGTGGAGTTCGAGGAATTGGAATGAAGTACTGGTGTGACTCTCAGGAAGCATGAACCTATAGCTTGGAGGGTGAATGAGTCTCCAAGGCGGGGGAAAAAGGTGGCACTTTAGCGGTGGGAGCAGAGCCTTGAGAAGACAGAATTAACATTCAGAGAAGGAATGGAGGAAATGTACTGTGGCTTGAGCTTGCTGGAGAATTACCATAGGCAGAAGGAACCCGAGCTGAGATTGTGATTAGACTGGGACTAAACATTGCGAATTGCAGAAAAGGAAAGAACCAACTATAAGAAGCTTCTGCTTGGGAAGAAGACAATGGAGATTTAATCTGGCAGGGGAAGTGAGAGAACTGTGATAATGACTGCTAAATAGATAGAAGGCAATATCCTTGACATTAAGGGAAGAGAAGCTGATGCAACAGTAAGAACAAGGAAAAAGAACTTCTAAGTGTCTGGAAATCTGTGCAATCTAAGTAACCTGATACAATTATATAAAATTCTGTATAAATATTATTTACTGTATAGCTGTTCATTTAAAACTAGACTTGGAACTTTATATAGAATACCTTAAAGACCTTTATATTTTATACTGTCTGACATATATATTCTCATAGATACTTATAGATGATACCCAGTGGACATATGTGTATGTGAAGGCAAACTTATATAGACCTATATAGTATATTTATATAGTACATTTATATATCATAAATATTTTTATAATGTAATCAATTTAATAATCAAGTAAAAAACATTGTATATATTTATTTATATTTATATTTTTACAAGTAGACTTAAGGTATTAAACCTGTGATATAAGTATTATCTTATAAGAATTACTCATGGTAAATGCAATATCTATAACTTTTATATTCCTTATAATTAACAATGTTAAAATTAGTATCACAGTTTATGAGTAGTCAGAACTGTTAGACCATCATTAGATTATTATTAGATTATTAATTGTATTGATCAATTGTATAAATAGGGTATTGATTGTATTATAATATAGGGTGTTCTATATTGTGGTCACTAATAATAGTTAGTGAAGCAGGTAGAAGGATTTTGAGGAAGTGAGGTAGAGGCAAAAAAAAAGATAGATAAAGGGGAAAAAACGGGGATATATGGTACTGTGGAAAAACTTTTAAAAAAATATTAAAATGACAAGTACAACCACCACAGTTACCAAAATTGGGGGGGGGGGGACATCCCCATCAGGACCACATTCAGTGGAAAGCATGCTAGGAGGTGAGAAATCAGGCTCCACTATAAATCTACAGACCGTGCAATGAACCCTAATATCAATTCAGGAGACAATGATGAAGATGCAGGAGGTAATGACAAAAAGTCTTGAAGAACTTAAGAGTGATATGGGGAGGTAAAAGGAGAGATACGCAAACTAGATGATAAAATTGGTACAATGCAGGAAAAGATAACACAAAATAAACAAAAAATAAAATAGTGGAAACTAGAATGAGACAAACTGAAAAGAAATTAGATAAAACAGAAAGTAAAATAATGGTCGTAAACAAAGAAATGGAAGATGCCATTATAAGTTTAGAGATGGAGAGATCAATGTTTTATCTTAGATTCCAAAATATAGTGGAAACTAAGGAGGAAGATCTTCCAGAATTAATGGCCGAACTCCTGGCTGAACTTCTGCAAAAAAAGCAAGCAGGAAGTGGAAAACGACTTGGACGAAGTGTAAGACACAAACTTCCAAAAGAGATACTTGCAAGATTTACAGGAAAAAAGATAAGAGATGAAGTCTACAGCAAAACAAGAGAAGAACCTCTGGTCTATAACAAAAAAGAAATCATAATACTAAAGCAGATACCAAAATGGCTAAGGGAACAGAGAAGAAACTACCATTTCCTATCGACCCAACTGCTCAAATACAGAGTGATGTTTAGATGGCTTATCTGTGAAGGGATGCTAATAACCTGGCAGCGAAAAAAAAATCAGTATTGACTTGCTGGAAAAGGCAAAGGAATTTTATGATCACTACAAATAAGACAAATAATAAGACAAATAAGATAGCATAGAGGAAGCAGAAAATAAGAGACAGGAAGAACAGACGTCAGAGGAAAAACTTACAGAGCAGGATATAAGGGACCGAAGGGAAACAACAACAGGACAAGAACAGAAACCAAGACAAGAACAAGGAAAGGACCAAAACCAACATACAAATAAGATAGAAGACGAAATAAAGATGATATCCTTGAATATCAATGGTATCAACTCACCGGCCGAGCGAAAACAAACATTAACAAGACTCAAAAGACAGAATATGGATATTGTCTGCCTACAGGAGGTTCATATCAAAGAAAAATATGGTAATATTCTAGAATGCCCCAAATTAGAAAAGCTGCATCTGGCATTAGCACAAAATAAGAAAAGAGGGATTGCTGTATACATAAAAGATTGGTTAAATTCGAGAAAAATATTTAGTGATAAAGAAGGTAGATTTTCAATGACGGAAATAAATAAAAAAAATTCTGCTGGTGACAATTTATGCTCCAAATATAAACCCCCCAAAAATTGTATAATAAATTACACAAAATAATTGAATCAGATTGAGAAAATGTCTGTATAATAGGAGATTTCAATGAGGCGACAGACAACAAAATAGATTATAGGAATACAAAGAAGAATAAAAAGAAAAGATGACAACTACCAAGTACCTTCTTTGAAATGGTGCAAGAATTAAATTTAAGGGATGCATGGAGACAGATAAATCCAAAGAAAAGACAGTACACCTTCTTTTCCCATCAGCACAATTCGTGGTTGCAAATAGCTATGGCATGGATGAACCCAGAATTGATCAATAACATAGAAGATATGGAGATTTCGCCAAATACATGGGCAGACTACAATCCACTAATGGTAAAATGGAAATGTCGGAAGTAAAAATTAAGATATACACTAAATCAGAAAATTGTAGAAGAAAAATCATATATACAAATGATGGATAAGAAATTAGATATTTTCTTCAAGGAAAACAATAAAGGCCAAGCAACACTACAAAACCTATGGGATACCACAAAAGCCTATGTGCGGGGTATAACAATAGCATATGCAGCAAGTAGAAATAAGGAAAAAAGGAAACAGCAAACATTATTACAGGAGAAGCTTAAAGAGTTAGAGACTGTGTTGGAGAAAGAACCACAAAATACTAAAATCAAAGAAGAGAGAGATTTGGTGAAACAAAATTAATCTAACATTTCAAGAATAAATGATACGTAATATAAAAATGGCGAAACAAAACTATTTCAAAACAGCAAATAAACCTGGTAGATGGCTGGCTCACAAATTGAAGAAAGAAAAAACCAAAAAGCTAATACAGTAACTACAAGACAAACATCGGAATTTGTTCCATAAAACAGAAGAAAAAAAAAGTATAATCCAAAGCTTTTTTCAAACTCTATATAGTCAGGAAAACATCTCAGAAAAAGAACTCCAAAATTATTTGCAAGAGAGAAACCTACCAAGTATTTCAGAGGAGGCAAGAGAAATGCTAAATGAGAAAATAACTAACAGAGATGGAGGCAATAAAAAAAACAAAAACAATAAATCACCAGGACCAGATGGGATTCCTGCAGAGATATATAAAAAATTTCAAGAAACTTTTGAGGAAATCATGAAGTATTAGAACAAGCAAAAATGCCAAGTTCATGGACTGAGGCATTTATAACCTTAATTCCAAAAGAAGAAACAGACAATCAATTGATCCAAAACTATAGGCCAAACTCACTGCTAAATGTTGACTATAAAATATTTATGATGATTATTGTGGAAAGACTTAAAAAAATATTAAATAAAATTATTCATTCGGGTCAAAACAGATTCCTACCCAAAAGACAATTAAGAAATAATA